ATACATGGTTAAAGAATTCCTGCTGGCCTTCTTTGAGTACCAGATATTGCTGAGGTTAGATATTGTAACTATCTTGTGGTCTATTGTTTCGCAGTCAGGCGTTGCCTTTATTTCAAGCACAGATGTTGCAAAATTTGACTATTTTTAGCTACATTTAAGTAATGTTACCATAGCGTTCATTAGGAAAGGCAAATATGAAATGTAAGATAGGATATGTTGTTTTTTCCTCCTGCTGGTGGGAATTTCCAAAGAAGCAAAACAGTGTTAAGAGGTAAAATGGAAAACTTGGGCAATTTTCTATAATATCACTGAATGTGTTCCACCTTCGTTTGCTGTTGTTTTTATGGGTGTATTATGACTATTCCTCATTGGCCACTGAGATTCATTTCCCTTAATAGTTTAGTAATTACATTTGTGAAATATCTTTTTAACAGCTAATCACCATCAGGGCACTCTTAAGAGATGTACTTAGAAAGACCAGCAGACATTCTGTCTTAAACGTATTGCTAATTTAGTACTAACTCATTGTTTTTTATTGCAACTTGCTGTTGGCATCATGAATGAAGCTTTAATTATAGAGACTGGACCTCTCTGAAATGGCACTCCCACTTGGTTTAAGTGTCCTCTTTTAATCTGTGGGGTATTCCTTATCAGAGATTATTGTCAAACATTTTTTTAAGTATTCTTCCAGTTACCAGAACACAGACTAAAGGCAGGGCCAAACAAGGTGAGATGATTATAACTTTCCCTTCCCCCCTGTAAAGCTGTCTTATTCTCAGCTCCAAAACTACACCACAGGGAACATCCCTATTAGCAACACCAAATAAAACCCAGAACAAATACAAGTTAGTTTATTTTGTCTTTTCTTTTTTTCCCTTTTCTATATTTCAAAAGCAATTCCTACATGTTATAAAAGTTAGAAAATGCAGATAAGCAAAAGAAAATCACCTGCAAACCCACCTCCTGGAGAGGTTTTAGTATCATCTTTGCGATGACTCTGCTGTGAAAATTTGTGCAGTTGTACTGGGTGTGTGTGTGTGTGTGTTTCTAATTATTCACTTTCTCTTTACTCAGACAAGGATTATTTGTTCCTGATACATTGACTTTGGGCTTCATGTTGTGACTTGCTTAGGTCAACGGGAGGTGACTGAGTAGCTGTTCTTACCCCAGCTGAGCAAAGTTTGAAATGCCATTTTGTAGTTTGGCTCCTCTGGCCTGACAACCCCCTGCCAGGAGAGCAACACCCTCAAGATCAGTGCTGCTCCTTCAGCCTTGGTCACAGAAAAAAAGCAATAGGAAGCAGACACACAGAGGGAGCTTTAGCTGTCCCGTAGCTCCATGTCACTTGAGCAAAAAAAAAAAAAAAAAAGAAATCTGTTCTTTTAAGCCACTGAGACTTGGGGGTGGGGGTTGTTTGTTACACAACCAACCTGACTAATATTTTACCTAGCCCCCTAGACTTCGTTTCCACAGCTACAAAATTACAGTAACAATAATGGTATCTACATAGAAAGGCTACTGAAAGGACTAGGGAAGATAGTATATTGAGAGTGCCTGTTGCATAATAAGAGCTCAGAAAATTCATTTTATTTTATTCTTCAAGCCTTTCTTATATGTATATTTACAAAAACAGTGCATTCAATTTGTAGACCTTTTAAAAAGTGTTAATGTAATAAATATCTATATAATAAGGTAATTAAATATGCTAATACAATTTTTAATGGCCGCACAGTGTTCCATGGTGTAGATGTACCAAAGTTTATTTAACAAATCCATTATTTTGAGCATTTAGATTATTTCCAAATTCCACCATAGTAGACAATATTATAATTAATATTTCTATAATTAAATATCAACCAATTTATGATTATATCTGTAGGAAAAAAATCACTGTCAAAGGGTCTCTATGTTTTAAGGATTTTGACACATATCGTAAAATTGTTTATAGTTTAAAAACTTAGGCAATTAATAAAGCAAAACTTTGCCGGAATATAGTTATATATCCCCATTAGTATAATGCTTATAATAGTTAAGATTTCCTGTGGTAAAATCCCATCAAGCAATTATGTTAAAATGCATGAATCCTTATGTTACAGTATTTGTTCCTGCTTCCACTAAATTATTTTAGCCAAAAGAGACATATTCTGTCTTGTTCTCTAAGCATCTAATATTTATGTTGATACAAGGAAAAATGTGCTGTCTGAGCATGATATTTTCATTGCTCTTAAATGGGGTGCTGTTGAATTTTGTGTCTTTGATAGTATTGTGTGAAAACAGCAAAGCACATTTTACCATAGGACTCATCTATACGACAATCAAATTCTTATTGTCTTCTTATAATAAAATAGGACTTTTATTACTTTATTTTTCAAGAAACACTGAGTTTTAATTAAAAATAACTTTAAAGGGACGCCTGGGTGGCTCAGTCGTTAAGCGTCTGCCTTCGGCTCAGGTCATGATCCCAGGGTCCTGGGATCGAGTCCCACATCGGGCTCCCTGCTCCGCGGGGAGCCTGCTTCTCCCTCTGCCTCTGTCTCTCTCTCTCTGTCTCTCATGAATAAATAAATAAAATCTTTAAAAAATAATAACTTTAAAGACATTTCTGAATGACTATGATAAATATCTTAGTCTTAAAAATAAATCAAGGAAACAGCTTCAAGACTATGTTTCCAATTGTGCTATTGATTTTGTTTCCTGTTCTAGTAAATACTATCAACAGCACCCCATTTAAGAGCAATGATAATATCATGCTCAGACAGCACATCTAGTAAATATTATCAGCCAACTTTTTAAAAGGACTACAGATTGAATGCACTATTTTTGTAAATATACATATGTGCACAGAGAAAGTTTACCTTTCCGTCAACTGGGGGTGTATATGTATATATATATGGGGTGGGTGGGCTTGTGCACTCTACAGTGATGTTTGCTGCCCGTTTCAAGTCTTGAATTTGTATATACACAGAGCTCCAAGAGAAACATCTCTGTTCTAGGGAGACAAATTAGAATTGAACTGCAATTAATCCAGTGCCATGAACTATGAAACTCCGTGGCATTTAACAAAGTATTAACTGATGGCAGTATAGCAAACCACTCCTAAAAGTGTTGCTTTTTATATTTGAAAGTTCACTTGTTATGTATTTGTTTTAATGGGCTTCTCTTTACACCTTTCTAAATTATTTCAGCATTTTTCTTGCCAATGCTTAATTAAGCTGACTCTAAAACAGCAGTTGATATGGACCAGATGGAAACATTTGGCTGGCTCTATTTCCCACAGTTCTTTGGTTTAGGAGAGCCCTGGGATCAACATTAGCCTCACCACTGATACTACGCTAAGAAGATCCTTGATGAATTGAGTATTTTGATTTTTATCTTAATTATCTCTGGTTGTATAGACTCTGCATTTAATTCTGATAGAAGGAGAGAATATAGTACTGCATTTCTAAATTACATATTTTAAGAATATTGAAGCAGTTAATCAAGGAGTATTAGTGGTAATCTAGTCCAATATTTACCTTGGTGGCCAACTCTAGAATTAGCATGATTCCACAGAGAGCAACTTTGAAACTGACACTGAAGCACTTGTGAATAATTGCTTCAATACAGTTAAGTTAGAAAAAAGAGCATAAATAATTTACATCTGTCTTTAAGCAATAATCATTCCAAAGTGTGATTATTAGTTTACTTGTATGATTTAGATAAAAGTCAATATAGCCAATATAGTTGACCTAGGAAAATAATATTTGTCTAATGGTTTTGTTTTGTTGGGGGGGGAGGGGCAGAGGGAGAGGGTTGGAGAGAATCTTAAGCAGGCTTCACACCCAGTATGGAGCCCAGTGCTGCACTCAATCTCACAACCCTGAGATCGTGACTGGAGCCAAAATTAAGAGTTGGACGCTTAAGTGACTGAGCCACCCAGGTGTCCCGTCTAACGATTTTAAAATGAGTAGTCATAAATCTCTTACTGCCTTTCAGATTTGGTTCTTGTGGTTATAATAGATTACTAATGAAAACTAAGAATCCTTATGGGCCTATAACCCTTCAACAAGGAATGTTCATGAAGAGACTCTAAAGGGAAATATATTGTCATTATTTGTAATTAATTATTAAACATGTATGACAAACTAGAATTCTATAACAATATAAAGTAAAATATCTATTAACCAAGAGAAAGAATGAAATGTGCTTAACATATTTAACAGTCTTCAAATTGTCAATTTAAGAGACAATAAATGTTTACCAAACTTCTATTTATTTTCCAAAGCAAAATTTCACATACTTTTTAAAGCACAATTATTTTTTAAAAAGAAAAATTATTGACAACTTATTCTCAAACTGTCATTACTTAATATTGATTTTAAATGTATGTATTTCTAGAATCAGTGTGAAATATGAGAAGAGCATGGTTTTGAAGAACTGTTTTCAAATTTTATCTCTGCCCCTCAGTGACTGTGAGGACTTAGTACTAAGTCACTTAACATCTGCAAACTTTTGTTTCCTTATGCCTAAAGTGGGGATAATGTTTATTTGCATTTGATGTGAGGATAATGTAATAAATATAATTACCTGGCTCTTGGTATGCACTCAGTTCATTTTAGTTTCCTTCTTTCCTTTCCCATCAGTTCTTTTTTAAAAAGTCCATTTTTTTAAATTTTATTTTATTATGTTATGTTAGTCACCATACAATACATAAGTCCATTTTAATACATATTTTAATTTGGTTAAAGACTACTATATATTCCTGTGTATCAATCAGCCATGATAATAATAGGTTTTCTTGATAAACATTAGGTTCCATCTGTATCTTTCCAAAGAATATCAAAACTTTCCTGAGCCTAAAGCCTTAAGTTCAAAGGTGTGTTGTATTTCACTCCTACAACAGAGCTCTGTTACCTGACTGCTTCCTACCAGCGGTTAGTTCAGGTCCCAGGAAGCCCTGCCCATTAGCTACCTTGCCCAATAGCAACAGCAGAGCAGTGAACTTACGTTAGTCAACTTACATTAGGGAAGAAATTGCCAGTCAAGGTTCCTTTGGAAAGAGTCACAGGTTCTGTTAGAGTAAACTCTTGGTCAACTCAGTTATTCCAATTCACTTCATTGGTATGACATGAATCCTAGCGCTTACTTCTCCAGTGTTTCCTTTAGCTACTATCACTGAATGCAAACCACCAGAGGGAGGCAGGGGAAGTACAAAGAGCTGTCATAGAAATTCAGTCAGAGATTGGGAAAATATGAATAAAGATTACTTATGGATGGAGATTATCTAGATGCCTTCCAGACACATTCTGAATTCACTGAACTTGGTTGCATGCTTCTCAGTCATTATCCCATCTACATCCCCAAACCAAATCACATGCATTAAGATTACTTCTTTGGTATTTCTAATTAAATGTAGGATTGGCTAAGTCTTATTTTAGGGACCAAAACTTCTTTACATATATAATTTTTAAAAATTGAATTGATAAAGTGAGTCACATGCAAGTTTTCTTTTAATAAAGAAAGTATTGGGGCTCCTGAGTCGGTTAAGTGTCTGCCTTCGGCTCAGGTCATGATGCCCCGCATCAGGTTCCTGCTCAGCAAGGAGCCTGCTTCTCTCTCTCTCTCTCTCCCTCTGCTCCTCCCCACTACTTATTCTCTCTCTCTCTCTTTCTTAAATCAATAAATAAAATCTTAAAAAAAAAAAAAAGGAAGTACCAAGCTTTCTTTAATAAAGCAAGTTGCAAAATGTTGGCTTCACCTGAAATATTAAATTGCCACATTGACATTGACTTTGACACCATCATTTTAGACAAGTTCCTTAGATCACCATCTTGAATATTAGCTGTTAGGTCATGGTGGGAAACAACTGCTATGATGAAAACTATTTGCATCATCATGGCTGACATTGAAGGTTGCAGCTTGGCTAGCCATCCCTGACGTCATTAATCTCACTTAATCTCTGTTTTTCAAGGGAATCCAGCTAATTTTACAGAAACTTTTGAACTGCTTGCACAGCCATGCAAAAAGGATAATTTCCAAGGTACTCAAATTTCAGGGAAATGGACCCTTAAATAATTTAATAGGAAGAAAAGGAAAGCTTTGTAATGATTAAATTATATTTGATAGTACTTTTCTCTATTAGTAAATATATGCTACTACAACTGGAAAAACAGGAACAGCCTTGTCCCTGGTAAGGTTCTCTGTGAAATATCTTTGTGTAGAACGCCAGAAATGGTGACGGGATTGGGAAGCATGTATAAATAAAGGGGGTACATAAGAGTGGCTTCCACTCAGGCATTCTCTGTAGTACCTAATGGCTCATAAGGGCAAAAAGTGCATCTGACTCAGTAAATACTTGATGAGTGAATTTATAAATACAGTAAGAGCTCTCTGCCTCATTCCACTCCACCTTCATTTCTGCAAACACAAACATACAGAGATACATGCACAGTGAACACCGGGGTTACGGGAGAGAGGAAGGAACTGGAGAACTCCGGGGCTGGCTTACAGCTGGTGAGCACCAGAGCCTGTGGTTTATAGCCAGCAATTGTTCTGATTGGTGGGTGTGGAAGTAGCAGCCACTGTTCTGATTGGTGGGTGTGGAAGGAGCAGCCACTGTTCTGATTGGTGGGTGTGGAAGGAGCAGCCACTGTTCTGATTGGTGGGTGTGGAAGGAGCAGCCACTGTTAAGCATTTTGAATGACACCACAGGATATTCCTTTATTTAATCCACTTTATTCAGGCCTGAGCATCTTCCACCCTAAGATATCCTTGAAATCAGAACCAAATGGAATTCCTGAAGGTGATTAAGAGGAACCAGACTGGGCAAAAGGATGAACTGCGGTTGTGGTTGACTTCTATCCCAACTAGACAAGACCTTACAGGCTTTACTAGCAGAAGATTGAAGCCAGCTAGAAAAAAACTTTTTTTTTTTTTAAAGATTTTATTTATTTATTTGACAGAGAGAGACACAGCGAGAGAGGAAACATAAGCAGGGAGAGTGGGAGAGGGAGAAGCAGGCTTCCCGCAGAGCAGGAGCCCGATGCGGGGCTCGATCCCAGGACCCTGGGATCATGACCTGAGCTGAAGGCAGACGCTCAACCACTGAGCCACCCAGGCGCCCCGAATAAAACCTTTGGTGTGAGGCATCCTAGGAGTTTATGGTGTACACTCATTTTGGGAATATAATAGGGGTTTAACTGGAGCTCTTCCACTAACCTTCTAACCAATTTGAGGGAAATCATTTCAGTAGGTTTTCATTAACTCACCTGTATAGTGAGAGGTTTGGGGAAATGTGAATTCTAGAGTCTCTTCCAGTTCCATCATCCAATGAAATCAGGCATATCTTTTTCTGAAAGAAGAAGTTTGTCAAAGGTGTATAAGGACACAATAATGTGTATATAAGGACTAAATCATAAACCCATAATTTTGAATTCCTGTATTTATAGAATGGTTTGATGTGCATCGGGCAGTGAATTCTACATAAATATTTTAAAGTTTGACTTAAAAGAGTTTATCATTTGAATTAACCAGTATAGCACCTCACAGGAAGTCTCCTGGGTAAGAGAGAAGGACACTTTTCATGTATCAGTATTTGTGAACGTGGACTTTCAAAACAAAGCACCAACATATTTTTTTTTTAACTGGCTGTATTCCCTATGCTGTAATAGCACCAACATATTTAACTCAGTCATCTATTCATCAGAGTTGCAGTAATCTAGGTAAGTTGTGGCAAAGTCCTGTCATATAATAAAGAAATGCTAATAAATCTGCAACATTTGCCTGTAACTACAGTCTTTTCTGCTAATAAGGAGAGAGCAACATACCTTTCATTCACTGAAATCAGTGGAAGTCAACTATTAGCTAAACTTGCCTGTCCCTTCCTTGAGTGTTAATTGCACATTATTATTGGTAAAATAATTGATAACAAGAGCTAACTTAAATGAATTTAGTTAAAGGATCCATTGTTGCAGGACTTCTCAGAACCTTTAGTATCCTAACATAAACATAATTTTTTTTTCCAGGAAAGAGCACATAGTATTCCACATTTCTCAAACCTTATCCTGGTGAACTACCCTTTCCCTTTTTTCATTATTAAATGAGTAGTCACAAGGATCATATTTTGGAGAACACAATGTGGAAAATGCTGTCTTTGTTTATTTTCTATTGGAGGATCACGAAGACCCAATATTTATCTAATTGCTCTGCTTTCTCTTTCTCCAAAATGTATTTTTTATATTTTATTGCAATTCAACTTAGAACCAATGTTGGAGTGAGAAGAACCCCTAATTATAGTCCAATTGTCTAATTTATAGATAATGAAATTGATGTCCAGAAAGGGGCAGTAACATGCTTAAGAGTCACATGATGAATTTGAGGTTGTTTTGGGGTTAGAATATGGATTCCTTATTCCTTAGCCCAAGATTTTTTTTTTCCATTACACTGCAATGACTCCTCTTCCCATATTCACCATAGCTGATCACAACAGAAACCATGAGCTTTAAAGTTATGAGCTTATACAGAAGCAGTAAACATGTTATTTACAATGAGGTGCATTTTGGGATGCCTGTGTGGCTCAGTCGGTTAAACGGCTGCCTTCGGCTCAGAGCAGGATCCCAGGGTCCTGGGATCAAGCACCGCATCAAGCTCCCTGCTCAGCAGAGAGACTGCTTCTCCCTCTCCCTCTGTCTGCCACTCCCCCTTGCTTGTGCTCTCTCTCTATCTCTCTAACAAATAAATAAATAAAATCTTAAAAAAAAAAACCAATTAGGTGCATTTTAGGTTCTCCATATAGATGACCCTGTTGACAACTCAAATTCCATTTGTCCAAAGCTGAGTATTCCTTTCATGTCAGATGGTAGTATATATGTAATGACTAAGAACATGAACTTCAAAATCAGCCCAGAGTTTCTTCAACATATTCAGTGATTCCCACATCCTCATCTTTGCTTATGCTGACCCTTTAGACTGGACTATTTTTCTCCCAACCTCTCACATATTGAAGCTAAACTTTATCTTGAGATGGTATTAAAACACACATAATAAGTGCATGATGTGTTTTTAATTAAATTGATTTGAAGCAAATAGTTTCTATCTCTCCTTTCTCTATCATGGCTGCTATTGCAGGTCCAGTACTAGAAAGTATTGATGAGGTCACAATGCCTTTTCCTCAAATTAGTCTAAATTAACGAAATCCTATCTAATTATTCATTAATAGTATCCATTTGAGTAATGTCACACTTTTGAACTACACATGATCCTGAACCACTTCTCCAAGATTTCCCACTGATTAATGTTGCCTAGCCAGCTGCTTAGAGGCAATCTATCTTTTTCATTCGATAAATGTTTATTGAACACTTACTATGTCAGGTCCTTGACAAGAGTCAAAGAAAAAGTCACTTTCTCCCAATATGACATCATTTTTATTCCACTACCCTTCTCATCTAGAGTCTTTTACATGATGTGCCAACCTGTTTACCAAAAACAGCTCCCCAATGCAGAAATACCAGTTTTCACTAACTAAACTTGGAGCTTGGAGTTAGATGAGCATTTTAAACTCACAATGAGGAGCAAGGTTATTCTGCTTTGCTCAATATCTCAACATAGATTGGGTTTATGACAACATTATGTCTTGGCAAGTGAGTTCCTGTAGAAATCAAGAACGATTTTCTAATAGATTGTGTAATCAAGGAGTTATCCAAACAGAAGGCATTGTTAAGGCAACAAACCAGCAGACCCTGTGGTTCCACACAGTGTATTTACCTGTTCACTTGGACTATATCTACAGAAGCTTACTGGATAGATCTGTCTTTAAACAAATGTCAAATTTCAAATTTGAAACAGATTCCAGGCCTTGGGTGACAAAAGGCTATATAGCTCTTCTGAGATAAGCAGTGCCTGCCTCTTCTCTTTCCTGCTCTTTGCCCCTACCCTCATCCCACTCCTGTTCTCATAGCCAGGGTATTAGGGGAGAGGTTCTTAACGAATAATGCTCCAAAGGAGCAATTGCCTCTGAGATGCCTTTTATAGCTTTGGGCTTTGTACCAAGGCTGGGGAATATTTAAGACCTCAGAAATTCCACTTTTGCTCCATGGAGAAGAAAAAAAGAAATTTTTAAGTAAAAGGGCAGCTCTTTCTCATGACTTGCAAACTTAATAGACTATGGTGGGTTAGAAATTGCCATTGAGCCAAAAGAGCATTTTCCAAAGTATATTCTGTAGATGGGTTAATAATTGTGACTGCAAAAAAAAAAATTTTTTTTTGTTTTTCATAGTCAAACAGGTTTGGAGAATGAAGATTTAAAGTCAAACTAGTGCTTTTGGTATAGGAAAATTAGGTACTTTAAAGTGCTAATGTCTATGGTAGATCTCTAAGAAGAATATAGGAAATGCTTAATTTCCTAAACATTTTTGGCCATGGAAACTTTATTTTATGCTGCTTCTCATGGGATTACTGCTATTCTATGGAATACACTTTTGGAAATGCTGATCTATGAGAATAGACACATTATTTTCAGACATTGACATTTCATATTCTTTCCACAAAAAAACAAATAAATAAAAATAATGTAACTTTACATGTCAAGGAAATTTGTTCTCCTTAAATGAAGATTATTCTATTCAATCATCATCACTGAATTAGTGATTTAGTCTGTGTGTATTAATAGAAGTGGTTTCCACTGACCAACTCATCCCTGCAACAAAGGAATACAATTTTCTAGAGATGAGATTAGTGATGAGTGCTCATTTGTGGATTCAGAGCAGTGCAGATTCTCTTGTCCCATCCAGTAATTGAACCACTGTCCAAGGTTATTTCATTTACATGTTCTGAATCACGCTCCACAATCAAGTTCTTAGATTCCACATTCATCTGGTTTATATATGGGGCTCCCATAAGAGCTTTTGTTTTGTTTTTTTTGTTTTGTTTTGTTTTTTAAAGGTGGCTAAAAGACATCTTGGAAACCACTCCCCTAGTAACTAGACTGCTGGACAGATCCAGGGGGATCAATATGCTTCACATATGGAAGTGTGTTCCTCTCCTAGTCAAGAAGGATTGGCTAAGGAGTCTTTCTATAGACAGGAAAATGGCATAGAGGTGAAGCTCCTTGCCCAAAATAAAAGAAATCATGAAAGTAAATGCAGAAATTAGAATCTCTTGGCTCTATTAGGGCTCTAATTAGGGCTCTTTAGGAAAAGAATAATGCATGCTGCCTTACCAAATTTTGACCCAACATCATCCCTTGAACTAAGCAACCAATATTTACTGAGCACTTACTGTGTCCCAGATTTCTTTCTAGGTTCTTGGGTGACAAAACTGAATAAGTCCTTCCTGTAGAGAAAGAATAGGGAAAACAACAGGAAGTAAACAAATAAATAATCTAATGTCAAAATTAAGCTTTGTTCTGGTTTTCTCGGAGTCATCTTCCAGGTATTCCAGATGACTGTCTGATCACAGGCTACCTGTCTCATCTGTACCCAATCCAAATTGAACATTTCCAAATTCCATTTTTATCTCCATTAGCTGCTATTTGCCTGACTTTGTCCTTTCCTGTTTGGGTGCAGGTTTAACTCCCTAAACCTAAGTCAAAACTGTTCTCCTCAGGGTCATTGAATTCTAAACCTTGCCTATTGGAAATTCCATGTTAGTCTTTCCATGTTAGTCTTTCCCGAGATTCCACCCTGCAATCTATCCATTCTTTAATCATCCATTCAACTAAGCTATAGGTCTCTGTTAGTTCATTTTGGGTTCTCCACGTCTGTCATTCTTTTTAACTTTCTTCATTCTTTTTTTTCTCTTTCCTTGGAAGAATCTTAGCAAAGGTGAATTACTTCATTCTCCATTCTGATTCTACTCTTCTTTGCCATGTTTTTCTCCCTTAAATTCATAAAGACCCGTCTTCCTTCACAATTCTACTTACATGTTCTTTCTGTCCTCTTCACAGATCACCACGAAATACTTCTCTCAAAGAGAGGCATATCTGCAAAGTACTATTTAACCCTGGAGAATTATAACTGAACTTTTCTAACTAGAGGCAGGTTTAGTACAGCCCCGATCTGCTATAAAGTTGCACATGAGAAATTTGTTATAGTTCAAAATAATGCAAGATTATTTAAAATTATTGACCTCTCCACTTAATAGGAAAAAGGAAAGGACTTTGTTTCTTGACTAAACCCCTCTGTCATTTCCAAATGTTCACTCTCAGATCCATGTTCATACTATTTTCATTCCCCTTAGTTGTTCATGGTACAATCATAAAAGCAGTGTGTGGGGCTTTGAAACCATGGGGCTCTCCTTTCCTACAGTAAAATGACTGTGCAGCCTCATTCACCTTCAGCAGGACAATTCTGCCAAAGCCTCTCATGTTCCCCATGGTAATGATACTGTTGAGCCAAAACCTAGCAACTCATACTTTATAAAATTTCAAATGACATCAAATATATTACATAGATAGAAAGAGCCAATTAACTGCCTAATCACCCATATTCACCTTCATAGAGAAACTGACTTCTCACTGTGCTTAGCCCTTACATTTGAAATTAATGAGTAGGACTTTCATCTGAAGAAGAGATCTGGCTTTTAATTCTGGCGCCTGTAATGTTCCATACATCCTGCTTCTCTCAGAGGCTAAATCATAGGACCACCATAAGCAGCAGACCTTTAGAAATTCAATGTATGTCTATATTTTCCTTCTTAAAAAAAAAAAAGCAGGATCTAGTTAAGAAAAGCTGTGTTAATTTCATGAGTACACATAATACATTTCAAAAGTCCTACCTTTCATTCCAGAAATAGGACTCATCTGATACTCAGGTAGTAATATTTTCCATTAAGGGAGAGGACAAATTAAAAAGTCCTTCTCTTTCCCTTACTTCCCTTCCTGAATCTCTTCACTATCCATCCTTGTACCCATGCTAGCAAGCTGAGAGAAAACTTTAATTTCTCCTTCTTCATTTTCTGATATATAGTACTGATATATAAATGGAATACAACTTACTCTTTTGGGAGCAAATATATCAGGCAAACAATGTAAATGCTAACTTATACCTAGCAGAATACATTAAGTATAAGACATATGATGCGATCATAACCACTCACCCTTAGGTGAAATAGTTTCACACAAATCCCACTGATGAAAAAAATACATATATATTTTAAATTTTTCTCTCTTTTATTATTTTTCCTTGGGTAAAATTATCTGTACAGTCATGCAAAACTGTTATTTGTGACACAGCAGCATGTTTCTGACTATTATATGCTTTTGAGAAGGAATGGTGAGCTGTTAGGTGACATACTCGATCCTTGCTATTGAAGAAATTTATTCTTAGTCCCAACTTGAAACTTGTAGAAAATTTTGTAGGAAAGAAAAATACTCAAGGCTCTAAATAAGACTACTTAAATCAAAGTTGGCCTTAAATTACCTAGAGGGCATGACTAACGGTCCTTTACAAATCATAGGTTGTATTTGTTCATGTCCAATGAAGTGATTTCTTTGTGGATGTTTCCATTGAAATTTTCAGCAGTTTTACTGATGCCGCGGGTTAATGGAGGTCCACACTGGTTGCTCTTGATTTCTCTGAATCCTTTGTTTTGGTCCTGATATGTAAATGTGGCTCCGGAATTTCTTAATAGGAGGGCTTTCAACAAAAACCAGACACCAGTCATTCCCGGCAGAAAGGAAAGGAGTGGAACATGCAACTGCATTTGCATCACCGGCATATTGCTTCCATACATGAATTTTATGCAGCGTGTCTTGGGACATGATCCTCTCCAAGTCAAATAGAAAAAAGAAATTGATTATAGTCAATATGAAAGCTATGTTTATTAATGTAAATGTCTTTTTTACTTTATATTTTTCTAGGACTTAGAAGATCATCTTCAAAAACCAAAAATGAAGTTCACACTCACACGCCGGTGCTTGGTACTCTTCATCTTTCTAAATGTAAGTAAAACATCATTTAAGCTATGTTAATCAAGAATGCTGAAATAGGGCGCCTGGGTGGCTCAGTTGGTTAAGCGACTGCCTCCGGCTCAGGTCATGATCCTGGAGTCCCGGGATCGAGTCCCGCATCGGGCTCCCTGCTCGGCGGGGAGTCTGCTTCTCCCTCTGACCCTCCCCCCTCTCATGTGCTCTCTCTCATTCTCGCTCTCTCAAATAAACAAATAAAATCTTTAAAAAAAAAAAAAAGAATGCTGAAATAGAGCGTACGATTGAATGGGCATTTGCAAGGGTAGACATCTTGCCAAAGCTAAGTTTCACCAGCCAAAAGTTCCTCAAAACTATTATTTTCTTGATATTTTGCTAATAGATCCCCACTCTGAAATTTCACAATTTAGATTACTGTTATAGTTCACTGAGAAATGTGAGCTTTGTTTACAAAAATTCAGCATTAACTTGAGACATCTCCACATTATCTTGGAATTTAACATGGAAGGTTAATAATGTTCTTGGGTAAAATGTTTTTGATGTTAGAAGGTGGATTTGAAACACAGTTTCTGGGCTCCTGTCGTTTTCAAACATCTGAACTCTTTCGGTCAGGTTATTGATTTTAAATGCGTCTCTCAAAAGAACTGACTAAGAATCTTAAGTCTTAACAGACCAATGTCACTCCATAACTCTTTCTCTAACCTTTTTTTTTTTAATTTTTTTATTCTTATGTTAATCCCCATACATTACAACATTAGTTTTAGATGAAGTGTTCCATGATTCATTGTTTGTGCACAACACCCAGTGCTCCATGCAGAATGTGCCCTCTTTAATACCCATCACCGGGCTAACCTATCCTCCCACCCCCCTCCCCTCTAGAACCCTCAGTTTGTTTCTCAGGTCCATAGTCTCTCATGGTTCATCTCTCCCTCCAATTCCCCCCGCCCATTTTTCCCTTCCTTCTCCTAATGTCCTCCATGTTATTCCTTATGTTCCAAAAATAAGTGAAACCATATGATAATTGACTTTCTCTGCTTGACTTATTTCACTTAGCATAATCTCCTCCAGTCCCATCCATATTGATGTAAAATTTGGGTATTCATCTTTTCTGATGGCTGAGCAATATTCCATTGTATATATGGACCACATCTTCTTTTTTTTTTATGATTTTTTTTTATTCTTATGTTAATCCCCATACATTACAACATTAGTTTTAGATGAAGTGTTCCATGATTCATTATTTGTGCATAACACCCAGTGCTCCATGCAGAATGTGCCCTCCTCAATACCCACCACCAGGCTAACCCATCCTCCCACCCCCCTCTCCTCTAGAACCCTCAGTTTGTTTTTCAGAGTCCATCGTCTCTCATGGTTCGTCTCCCCCTCCGATTTCCCCCGCTTCATTCTTCCCCTCCCGCTACCTTCTTCTTTCTCTAACCTTTTAAATCATGTCCAAGTTATATGATTTTATATTGTTTTATTCCTAAATGGTTAGCAAGTAGTCAGAAGTGCAATTATCTTAGAAAATACTACCAGGGCCTATCTATTTATTTGTTTTGATTTTGCTAACCCACCATCATATCAGCTTCCACAACACATGAAAGAGAGATGAGTAAATTTTACATAAATAAATTAGGAGTTGTCTTGATCCTTATCCTTTCTAGCACATCAGAACAACATTGGCCAATGAATCATAGAGGCAATAAAAGTAAGTCAGTACCTGATATTATTATATTCACCCAAACAAAACTTTCCCAGGGTTCCAGGATTTACATTGTTAATTCATGAGTAGTCATAGGCTTACAAGTTTGCATAAACTGTTTCTCTTAACATTATTCAGGGAAAAATATTACTAATATTCCAAAAATGTTCCTCTCATTTTTAAGGGAATTTTTATTTTGTAATGTTATACGTCAAATAAGTGGTTTATGGTTATGATTGTTAATGTAGCCCTCTTGTATCTACTTGGATATTGAGTATAGTTTATTATGTAATATTGTATTATTTTAATCTTTAGATAAAATACAGTATAATTTGCTAAAAGTAATCCAATATTTGGAAATGCAAGTAACTTCATGTCATTGTAAATATAATAAAAACACTTAAACAAGAATATTGTAGGAACTACTAGCATATTTTATTTTGTCTCTAAATGCTCAAGCCTTATATGAGATTCTATAGTGCAGAAATAGTGGTATATTCCATTCGTAATTGATATTGTTATCTTTAGAGCTTAAATTAAATTCTGTGTGATCAATTACATGTAAATATTTCTAAATAATTTTATTTCATAAACCATATAATTATATTAGACAGTGACAGAAGAACAGTTCTAAAGTAGTTACTAAGTTACTAAAGTAACTTACTAGATATGAATAAGACAGTTTGAGTACTACCAGAAAGACTACAGATCATTTCTGATGTGTTAAAAAACTAAAGTAGATCAATTCTATTGAAAACTTTTACCCAATATATCTTAAAATTCAGACATTAGAAGAATATCATATATTTGAGCCACGGGCAGAAATGTCTTCTGGTTTGTGGGCATCTCTTTGCTAGCAAACATACTGCACAGGACACTTTTTTTTTTTAAAGATTTTATTTATTTATTTGACAGAGAGAGACACAGCGAGAGAGGGAACACAAGCAGGGAGAGTGAGAGAGGGAGAAGCAGGCTTCCCCCTGAGCAGGAGCCCGATGCGGGGCTCGATCTCAGGACCCTGGGATCATGACCCGAGCCAAAGGGAGACGCTTAACAACCGAGCCACCCAGGCACCCCTGCACAGGACACTTGAGTGGCTTTGTGCTCTCTGCTGTGACAAACAGAAATTTGCTTCTCTACCCTATATTTGGATCATGTATTTGATTTGGAGAATTTTTCCATAAAAAAGTTTTGATAATTATCTGTTTCCTTCTAAAACATTCATTGTGTTCCACATGGATACTCTTCCAAGAAAATTAAATTTTTTTAAAAAATGATATTGATTTTAATTACTATAAAATATTACTTCTTAAATACATTAGTGTGAAAAACCACTACGAGTATATTTGTTGAATTCTATGAAATTGATTTCCAAATGCTCTTTAAAGTATCAGTTTGTCACCACATTCCATGAGTCTCAATTTACATTAAGCAAAACCACCCACTCACTTCCTCGCCCTTATCTGCAGTAATGCAATAGGCTTAGAACAGTGCTTGACACATAGTGAGCACTCAAAAATGTAGTGATGATGATGATAATTATAACAACAATGATGAGGACCTAGAAAAACTAGATTCTTCTGAGAAGCATTTTGTTGTTAACTAAGCTGTATTCCCTCATTTGCTTAGAATTTATCATCATGCAGCAGTTTTGTTGTTTATGTAATGCTTAAGTAGGAAGTACGTAGGACACCAACCATCTGATCCTACCTGGAAGAACCAGGGTTAACAGTCTACAAAGTTCTATTTTATCCATTGCTATTTTGAAAAGTATAAGTAACTGAAACATACAAATAATTCCAACATCTACATTGTCAATATTAAGGATGGGACATCAAAATCCTGTTGGTTATATCAATTTGTGGATTCTAGAATCATGTTCCTTTTAGAGTAGTTCTGTCTCTGGCAATCATTAAGAATATTTCCCGTCAACACTGTAGCGTGGGTTCCCACATTCATTAGGTTTAAACCATGGCAGAGATGGGCCATTTCTTAAAGGTCTACACAGAACAGTCCTGTAATTATTTTGTCTCTGTGCTTCTAGAAACCACCTGGATCCCAAAAGTAGGCTGGTTGTCTTACATCAAAGTAGGAATTGCTTGACTACATGACCATTCAAACCAGATTGCTTTCCACTGGACTCCATGATTAGTGTGCACGAAACCTAGAATGTAAGCCCCATGAGGGCAGGGACCTTACCAGTCTTGTTCACTGCTGAGTCTCCAGTACCTAGAACAGTACCTGGCATGTGGGAAGCAAAGTATCTATTACCCGAAAGAACCAGCGGTGTTTCAGCTGAGGACTACAGGTATTGGTGGCAGCTTGGTGGTCGTATGTGTGGCGCCATTTACTTGCACCTTTAGGAGTGACATCACATATACGGCGGCTAAACTGCTACATAGGACAACAATTAAGAGGTTGTTTTTTGTTTTGCTTTGGAAAAATCATGTTAAGATGGCTTGTATGCAAATCTTTGAACACCAATCTTTATCCACAAAAGCAGTGTGTCCTTAATAGCTCATCTCTATCCTCATGTGAGCATAAAATATTTATTTATGCCCCCAAATATATAATATAAACATAATACGATAAGTAAAATATGTTTAAGTCTTTCACATTGCTTGGTAGTCTTATCTAATCACTATGCTTCTATTTTGTCTCTATATTGCTGAAAACTACACTACCTCCTAGCCATTTTTATTGGTACAAAATCATCAGCAAAAAGTTTATATGTCCAATGAACTTTATGAAATTTTTATATGTATTATTGTCAAGCAGTAGTAATTCCATTGTTGGAATTATATATATATATATATATAAAATAGTTATCTGTCTATGCCCACATACATAGACAGAATGCCTCAATGTGTATGTTATTTTCAGAAGAAAATCACTGAAACATTCAGTTACCACTGGAAAAATTCCATCGTCAGTGCTCACACATGAACCAGACAAGGAGCGGACTCAGATCACTATGGCTCATCTACGACGGAAGTTCTAATTTCTCATTCCTTCAGTGTTGAAACAATCTCTATTGAACCAGGCTCCAAACCAAGTTCACTGGAGTTTGTTTCAATATTGCAAGAATGATAAGATTGATGCTACTATCGTCTACATGAACTACACCTGCTCTTTCAAATGGTCATATCTATACTGTTACTGATGTTAAAACTGCATTAAAACAAATAATGCTGTAATTGAAAAATACAAGCACAGGGTTTTCCTCTTGATATCCTTGCA